AACATGTGTAGTAACTGTTAAATGAGAAACTATTTTCTTCTGTAAGCCTTCATCTTAAGTGAGAATAGCAGCACAATTGGAAGAGTGTAGTCAATGTCACTGAATTGTGTATGTAGAAATTTTTGAAATGGTGTATCTTTGCCTATGTGTATTTTCACCAAAAAAAAAAAGGTTGAGAAGTTAGAGGGTTGGCATGTTGTGGGGTTATTAACCAATGTCATAAAACAATATGTGTACTACTGTTTCACGAGAAACTATTTGTTCTGTAAGCCTTCACCTGAAGTACAATTAAAAAAAAAAAATAACTTGCACATTATTGGGCATTCTAAAGTTGTTTCATTTGTAGTCTCTTGGCAACTCCGTGAGGTAGGTTTTATTATTTCTATTTCACAGAGGTTGAAACTGAGACTTTGAAAGGATAGGAAACTTGCCCAAATCACACAACTTAGAAATGCAAAACTGAGTTTGAAGTCTAGGCTGACTCCAAAATATCTGAGTTCCTCATATTGTACCAGGTTACCTCCTCAGGAGGGACGTGTCCCTGGAGAAGGACATCATGCTTGATAAAGCAGAGAGTCAGCAAAAACGAGAAAGACCCTCAACAAGACGGATTGACACAGTGGCTGCAACAATGGGCTCAAACATAGCAATGATTTTGAGGATGGCACAGGACCAGGCCGTGTTTTGTTCTGTTGTACATAGGGTTGCTGTGAGTCAGAACCGACTTGAGGGCACCTAACAACAACAACCTTCTCAGAAAAAAGAGATGAGTTAAAATTGTTTCACACTGAGGGCTTTGTACCTTACGGTAGAGAGAGCAGTGCTTTTCGAATAAAGTTCCAGCAAATTTGCCATGAAGACTGGGGACTGACGGGGAGGAGGACAGTTGGGATATAGGGTATAGGCGGGAGGGGTTGTGTTTTCTCTGCCCATATACAAGGTTGATTTGGGTCAATACTCTCTTGTGCTCACATGTGCCTCATAGCATTGCAGTTGATCTCTCCAACTAAGCATCCTTAACCACCTGAGGTACGTAACCCAGCATTCAGCATTTACAGACTTTTTTTTTTTTTTGATGGATGTGCTTTCATTAGTCAGGGGATGGTGAGGTTAGTATGCTAGGCTCTTCTTTTTCATCAAAGGAAATGCTTAGTTTAAAATAAGGAGCAAAACCTTTTCATCAGCACTAAGTTAGTTCACTGTGGGTATGTGTGTACAGGTTTCAGCTGAGTCCCTCCACAAGGGTTGATGTTATAGTGCTCACCTATGGCTGAATGTACTTTAGCAGGATTTTGTAAACGTCTTTGGGGTAATGACCGTGTCATAAACTTCACTTGTGTCTTGTCTGCTGCTAAGCTGGGTTGGAACAGTGAATGGGGTCCTCATCATTCAAGGAAAAATTGGTATATGTGTATGTGTATGTATATTTGCATATCCTTAAAGTGAATCCACTTTACATGGTGTCAAATTTAATAGAAAATAATCAAAAGAAGTGTGATTGGGTCTTTATCTTCATGGAGAAACTAAGTGTCATGGTGACAATTTGTTTATTCTTACATTTAAATATATTTAGGTTAAAATTATAATTAGCACTTTAACAAAACAAACAAAGATGAATCAAATCCTGATCATTCTTTTTTGTTTGTTTTGTTTTTCTTGGCCTAATATTTAAATAAAATTGTATGATAGCAATATTGGAAATCTTAATGTATGTATGATTTTTGCAATGATATCATAAAAAGAGTTATTTTTACTGTAAATGAGGACTTCTTTAATTTTCTAAGGATTTTTAAAGTTCTTTGTTATTCAAATAGTTCTCTTACTATGCCTATCACATCAGCATCCTGTTGATTTTCTATTAATTAATTTTTAAGAAGTTCACCTCTGCCAGTCCCTCATTTGGGTTTTCTCATGATCCAATAAGTTTTCTAGCATCACATTCATCAACTTTTTGAAAACCTACTACTTTTGCAATATTTGTTATTTTACTTGGCAATCTGCTGCATTGTATTTGCATTGTTTGGTCTAATATTTACACCGTCGTTAGAGTTGATATTGATGTGATGAGTAGGAATACAAGCTAGTGTTGAGTGGAGTGGATAACTGGTGATTGGTGTTGGTGGTGCAATGGTTAAGTGCTCAGCTGCTAACCAAAAGGTCGGTGGTTCAAACCCACCAGCTGCTCCCTGGAAGAAAAAGATAACAGCCTTGGAAACCCTCTGGGGCAGTTCTATTCTGTCATATAGTGTCACTATGAGTCAGAAGTGACTTGATGGCACAGAACAACAACTGTGTTATAAAAGACCATTTGGTCCCTTTGTGACTATTTCTGTGTTATGATGCATTTTTTTTCCCTTAGCAGCCATGTGCTTGTGGAATGGAGAATAATGAATGTTCAAATAACAAGGACTCTCTGGGCTTAAATAATTGTTGAATTGAATTGAATTGACCTATCCTGGATCAGTCCTCAATCTATAAATGTAGCAGTTGTTGGGCGCATACAGACTTTGGACTGCCCATAGATCATCAACTACGTTCTCTTCTAACCATTCTGGTGAGCATGAATAGAGCTGAAAGCATTCTAGAATCACTATAATCTCCAATCCAAAGACCTGTTTGAAGGCTTATAATTATCTCTATTGTGATATCTTTCAACAGATCTAAGAAGTTGTGTAATTTTGATTCCAGATGGGCTAAGAAGATGGTAAGACTGAATGGGACTTGGGTTCCAGACCTGTTCTATTATTGCTGTATTGTATTTTTTGAGGGGGAGGGGGATTCATTTAGCTTTCGTAGACTTCATATACAAAGATATCACCTTTATTTTTTTAACCTGATACAATCTAGTAATAATCAGTTTTCGTTTCTGTAGTATTTTAGGTACAATAGGTCAGTGGGAGAAGCTGAAAGTGTTTGCTAACCACCTCCTCCTCCATCTACATATACATGGCCACATATTTGAATAACATTATTTGCAAAGTATAACAGCATTTCAAAACACCAATTAACAGATGTTTTCATGGGTACAGAGAAGAAGGAAGGCTTGTTTCTTTAATATGTTGTTTATATGTTTGTGTATGGGTTTTTTTTTTTCCTCTTATTACAGTTGCGCATGTTTTTTTGATTACTTTTGTATTTTTCTTCCCACTGGATTGCAAGCTCCTTAAGGACAAGGACCTTGTCTTATTTTGTTTTATGTCCCTAGGATCTAACATAAACTAAACCATCAAGTCAATTTCAACTCATAGTGACCCTGTAGGACAGAGTCGAACTGCCCCATAGGGTTTCCAAGGAGCACCTGGTGGATTCGAACTGCCAACCTTTTCATTAGCAGCTGTAGCTCTTAACCACTATGCCATCAGGGTTTCCAGGATCTAACACAGGACTCCATAAATGTTTGTTACATTTTTCTTTAATTGAAGCAGAAATGAAGAACCTGGTTTAGAAGGAAGGAAATGGTAAATTATTGTGGTGAAAGTGAAGTGAGGTTGTACTAAGTTTGCAAGGACAGGAAATAAAGCAAGGTTAACTGGTGGAAGGCAGTACACAGGGGCAGGTTCCTTGCAGTGTTTTATGAAAAGGGCAGAGGACAAAGTACAGTGGCTATTCCACTGGAAAAACAAATAAACAAGCTGGAACATTCTTGCCTGAGCACCTGTAAACTGGAGTCTGTGAGCAGTTCAGTTAGATGTTTTAGGTTAGTGGCAAGATCATAAACTCACCTGTGTATTCTCTGAGGGTTTTTTAATTTATATTCTTCCAAAAATGCTTCTTAGAAAATAATACTCTCTAATCAAGTATCAATGAAGTTTAGTTAGGAGATTCTATCACATCAGAAATTTCCAATGACCAAAAAAGACTGTGAGAAGGTTTTTCTGGAAGTGATATGTCTACAGAAAGTATTCATAAAGTTCTGAAGAAAGAAGAGCTTAATTAGACAGACGATCCATTTCCTGAACAGGCACATACAGGTGTTGGATTAATTCTCATTTCCTCCAAAAGAGGCACAATAACTATGATGATTAGCATTCGTTGTTTGGGGGCTTAGCCATTCTCTAGTTTATTTTCACTTGGCGGGAGAAGAGGAAGGCGATTCTATTGCTTGTGGGTTGGGTCCTGTTAGTCATGAATGTTGGATTTCTCCCACACAGAATATGTGTTAAATTGAGCCCCAGATTATCTGAATGTGGCTTGCTCTTGGTTAAGCTACAATCATTTTGGCCAGATGGATGTTTTAAGCTCTCTCTCCCTGCTTTTAGTGGCTCAGGGAACACACACTAATTTTGATCTCAACGAATCCATGCTTGATTAGGAAAGGAAACAGAAAGCTACTACATAAAATCAAGAAATTCCTGCCAAAGTCAAACGCATCCTTTTTCAATATTTTATCAATTCTTTCCCGTTTGGTTTATCCATGTCACCTTGATCCCTCCATTTCAGGGTATATAACTGAGAGTTTATTATATTGGAAGTTAATGAACAATTTCATCAATATCAAAAAGCTAATACTGACTTGGAAGATCAGAATGTTGAGAGCACTTTCTGAAGGGTATGGGCCTTAGCTTCTGTTTCTCAGTGCTTCTGCTTCTTTGAAATAAGGAAGTTTCTAGGTCTTAGTTTTCTTGTGCTCACTTGTCTTTTCTTTGGTGTTTTACAAAACAGAGTCATCAAAACCTTTCCCATTTTGCCACTGCACAGACATGGTGTCACCATCAAGAAAAAAAATCTTTTTATTCTTTGTGCGCTTCCAGGGATCCTAGTTGTTAAATCACATTACAAGTTATTGATCTGAGATATTTTAAAATATTTTTAAACTGTTGGCAGGGTGATTAGGAATAGCCATTCTTACTAGAGTTAGTCTTTCAGTAGTCAAGTTTAGTTAACTATTGGACTGACTGAAGTTTAAAAACAGATCAGATATTGGAAAGAAGGGTAAATGAAGTACCAAGTTTCATTTAAATATAAGAAGATTATATAAAGAAAAATTGTAAAGAAGTTAATTACCATATTTTACACATAATGCACACCTTCTACGCTTGTCAACACTGCCCTTGAGTTATTTTTGTAAGAGTGCTATGCTAATTATTTTTACAACAACATGTGGAAAAATTGGCATAGCAGCATTTATGAAAATACCTCGCAGGGTGAGGGCATGGTTGGCAAACAAACATAGAAGGTGCATGTTATTTGCATAAAAATACGGTAAAGATTTTTTAAAAAGAGTGATGGAGTGAAACATTGATGAAGATGAGATTTTTATGTCTACTACATAAGGCAATGCAATGTGGAAGACAGGAAAATTGGCAAACTCCCTTGAGTAGTCACAAAGAATCAGTCTGATCTGCAATATTTTTCCTTTAGTTCAGAAAGGTACCCCCTTCTGCTACTAAGCAATTAAGCTCAACATCAGCATTTAAATATATGTAAGTGATTTTTTAATGTTCTTATGTGGTTTTGAGAAGTTTAGACCTACCGAAGTCATCTAGATATAGGTAATACATTAACAAAATTCACTGTGGTAGAGTCATAAAGAGGAAAGTTACTCTAAGAATTGCAAATGATCTCAATTAACTTATAAAGAAGCAAGGAAGTGTGTGAAACTCAAATTTTAGCAGAACTAAATTTTAATGCTGCTCTTTTTTCTATTTCTTCTCATAACATTATGCCATTGATTTGCTCACCCTCAAACACACACACATAGGCAAAGTTATTTTAGGGGAGATGTTTAGTAGAGGTCCAAGCACGAGTCACAGGCCAAATCTTATCATTAGCTGTGTTTTGTCTCACTCTACATAGTGTTTAAATTTTTTAATAAATTTATCTTGAACACTAAATAAGAAAAACAAAAAACAAATCCATTGCCATTGAATTGATACAAACTCATGGTGGCCCCATGTGTTACAGAGTATAATTGCTCTATAGGGTTTTCTTGACTGTAATGTTTACAGAAGCAGATCACCAGGCCTTTCTTCTGCAGTGATGCTAGGTGGGCTTGAACCAACAAGCTTTACGTTCTTTTTAAAAAAATAATAAAAACTCAAAGAAATTGAAACATAAACTTTATTTGAGAGTTATAGTATATGCATATAAGCAGACCATTCTGATTAAAAACAAAACAAAACAGCAAAACAAAGCAAATGGCTTAAAGCAGACTAGTTACAATGAAGCTTATCAAGAGGAGAGGAGGGAGAAGAATAGAAGACCAACCATTGGCTAATCTTAATGCTATTGATTGAACACTGCCCTCTACCTTTTACTGAGATTAACTGATAACAGATTACTAGTGGTCTCTAGCCTGGATGCTAAAATTTGGCCCTCCACCCACTTGTAGCCATGAGACCTTTTGAAGTTTAAATCAAATAAGCCTAGAATCTTTTTCATTAAACCATAATGTAATGGTTTTGTTGTTGCCTGTCCTTTTCTAGGAGGAAAAGATAAATTTACATTGTCGTAGAGCAGCTTATGGTAAAAGAATAAAGTCAATGCTTTCGAAGTTTGATTCAGGCTTTTTACAGTTAATATTTGATTTCATGGGTAAAAAAAAATTAAAATTAAAGTAAGATGTCTGTTTTTAATTTTGCTCTTTGACATCTCCCCCCCTCTGATCATGATTCAATTAGATTCTTTGATCAGCTAAGTATTGGCCTGGCACCATCTAAGATTTTTTCAGTCTCGGTAATTATATGTCATTTCTGTTGGTTTCTTAGCTTTTTCTCTTCATTGTTCCTCTAGTCAGAAGAAGACTATTTTCTTAGATGGCCAGTCGAAAGCTTTTAAGACACCAGACACCAAACAGCTTAGTAGCTTAATAGTAATATAAAAGATCAAAATGAGGAGAATGCATAAGCCAATGGTGTGAAAAGCTTGTCTGGCCCACAAACCCAAATTTCCTAACCATGAAAACAAATCACAAGAAGATGCAAGAGAAGAATTTGCAGCATGTGTTGTATCCCTAGCATGAACTTTTGCTAAAATTGTATCTCAATATACTTCCACTCAGGTGTCATTAATATACGTACAACAGTTTGCTTTTACCAAAGAACAAACTCCTCCTTGGAAAGCAGGTAAATAATAAAGAGCTAATCTATTTTGTAATGTAATTGTCTTTATCTGTGCTATTTCAGAGAGAGAGAGAACAGCCTCACCTAAATTACTGAGTCATCTTGTCTAACATCATTTGTAACCTTAACTATATATACACACACACACACATAAATACACATACACAAGCACATATGTATGTATATATTCCATAGATTAAACCAATTTCAGTAACTAAAGTTATCATAATGGTTATAGAATAGTCAATTAGTGCTCTCTTGGTCAATGGGTATAGATATAATCTGAAGTCTCTGGCTAGGGGTGGAAACATTTCCCCATTTTGGGTGTGTTCCCATTGTGATTTTTATCATTTGGCTTTTAAAAATACCTCCACAATAGAGTGCTTGTTTATTGTTTTTTAATGATGGGCATTCACCCAATTTCTGATAACTGTATTAAAACAGCATTTGTCCTGTTTTAACCTCGATGTCCACTTTATTTATCCTATTTTTTAAATATCTTTAAAAGATCTACATACCATTGGGAGGAGTTCTTTGACTGTTTCTTTACTCTACTCTTGGTAAGCAGTTTAGCCTTCGCTTCTTTAACATAAGTTTTCTTTATAGATAAATCCATAACATCTTAGCTAACTTTTTAACTTTGTTCCATCTAGGTTTGTCGTATGCGTCCCTTTTTCTCATTCTGGAACTACTAAGTTCTTACTGCAAGACAAAATTAAATTGCTTTTAAGCTGACATAAAAACTTTTGTCAGAACAAATCCATTTTCATAAATTCTTTGGAATATTAGGATTACTAAACTTATGTAAACACTTATCACTAAACCAACCAGAATAGAGTTCTATGAAGAAATATTATAATCTAATTCAATAATACCATCTGGAAGTAGGGAAGTATTCCATTTTTATAACCCTATCTTCTGCACCTGAATTTAGAGACCATCTCAAGACTAGATTTGATGCATTGAACACTAATGACCGAAGACCAGATGACATGTGGAATGACATCAAGGACATCATACATGAAGAAAGCAATAGGTCATTAAAAAGACAGCAAAGAAAGAAAAGACAAAAGTGGATGTTAGAAGAGACTCTGAAACTTGCTGTTGAACTTACAGTAGCTAAAGGGAATGGAATAAATGATGAAGTAAAGAGCTGAACAGAAGATTTCAAAGGGCAGCTTGAGAAGACAAAGTTTTATAATGAACTGTGCAAAGAACTGGAGTTAGAAAACCAAAAGGGAAGAACACACTCAGCATTTCTCAAGCTGAAAGAACTGAAGAAAAAAATTCAAGCCTCGAGTTGCAATTCTGAAGAATTCTTTGGGCAAAAGATTGAACGACGCATGAAGCAACAAAAGAAGATGGAAGGAATACACAGAGTCACTATACCAAAAAGAATTGGTTGGTGTTCAACCATTTTATGATCAAGAACCAATGGTATTGAAGGAAGAAGTCCAAGCTGCACTGAAGGCATTGTCGAAAAACAAGGCTTCAGGAATTGACGGAATACCAGTTGAGATATTTGAACAAATGAATGCAGTGCTGGAAGTGCTCACTCGTCTATGCCAATAAACTTGGAATACGGCTACCTGGCCAACCGACTGGAAGAGATCCATATTTACACCTATTCCCAAGAAAGATGATCCAACCGAATGCGGAAATCATTGAACAATATCATTAATATCACATGCAAGTAAAATTGTTTTTATTGTACTTTAGGTGGAGGTTTGCAGAACAAATAGTTTCTCATTAAACAGTTAGTACACATGTTGTTTTATGACAATGATTAACAACCCCACGACATGTCAACACTGCCCACTCTCAACCTTGGGTTCCCTACTACCAGCTTTCATGTCCCCTCCTGCTTTCTAGTCCTTGTCCCTAGACTGTTGTGCCCCATTAGTCTCATTTTGTTTTATGAGGCTGTCTAGTCTTTGGCTAAATGGTGAACCTTGGGAGTGACTTCATTACTGAGCTAAAAGGGTGTCCAGGGGCCATACTCTCGGGGTTTCTCCAGTCTCTGTCAGGCCAGTAAGTCTGGTCTTTTTTAGTGAGTTAGAATTTTGTCCTACATTTTTTTTCCAGCTCTGTCCAGGACCCTCTTTTGTGATACCAGTCAGAGTAGTCCATGGTGGTAGCTGGGCACTATCTAGTTATACTGGACTCAGTCTGGTGAGGCTGTGGTAGTTGTGGTCCATTAGTCCTTTGGACTAATCTTTTCCTTGTGTCCTGTTCTCTTCATTCTCCCTTGCTACCGAAGGAGTGAGACCAGTGGAGCATCTTAGACGGCTGCTCACAGGCTTATAAGACCCCAGACACATGCAAATAAAATTTTGCTGAAGATCATTCAAAAGCAGCTGCAGTGGTGTATTGTCAGGGAACTGTCAGAAATTCAGCCGGTTTCAGAAGAGGACGTGGACCAGGGATATCATTGCTGATGTCAGATGGATCTTGGCTGAAAGCAGAGAATACCAGAAAGATGTTTACCTGTGTTTTATTGACTATGCAAAGGCCTTTGACTGTGTGGATCGTAACAAATTATGGATGACATTGCAAAAAAATGGGAATTCCAAAACATTTAATTGTGCTCATGAGGAAACGTACATAGACCAAGAGGCAGTCTTTCGAACAGAACAAGGGGATACTGCATGGTTTAAAATCAGGAAAGGTGTTTGTCAGGATTGTATCCTTTGATGCTTACCTATTCACCAAACCTATTCAATACCATACCTATTCAATCTGTATGCTGAGCAAATATTTGGAGAAACTGGACTATATGAAGAACGTGGCATCAGAATTGGAGGAAGACACATTAACAGCCTGCGATATGTAGATGACAGAACCTTGCTTGCTGAAAGTGAAGACGACTTGAAGCACTTACTGGTGAAGATCAAGGACTACAGCCTTCAGTATGGATTACACATCAGCATAAAGAAAACAAAAATCCTCACAACTGGACTCATCAGCAACATCCTGATAAACAGAGAAAATATTGAAGTTGTCAGGATTTCATTTTCCTTGGATTCACAATCAATGCCCATGGAAGCAGCAATGAAGAAATCAAACGACATACTGCATTGGGCAAATCTGCAAAAGACCTCTTTAAAGTGTTAAAAAGCAAAGATGTCACTTTGAGGACCAAGGTGTGCCTGACCCAAGTCATGGTGTTTTTAATCACCCCATATGCATGCAAAAGCTGAACAATGAATAAGGAAGAGCAAAGAAGAATTGACACCTTTGAATTATGGTGTTGGCGAAGAATATTGAATATACCATGGACTGCCAGAAGAATGAACAAATCTTGGAAGAAGTACAGCCAGAATGCTTCTTAGAAGCAAGGATGGCAAGACTTCGTCTCACATACTTTGGACCTGTTATCAGGAAGGACCAGTCCTTGGCAAAGGACATCATGCTTGGTGAAACAGAGGGTCATCGAAAAAGAGGAAGACCCTCAAGGAGATAGATTGACACAGTGGCTGCAACAATGGGTTCAAGCACAACAACGATAGTGACGATGGCACAGGTCCGGGAAGCATTTTGTTCTTTTGTGCATAGTGTCTCTGTGAGTTGGAACCAACATGACAGCACCTAACAACAACAACAACAACAACATCTTATGCACACTTTTGAGAATTTTTTAGAGAAGAAATTTAGAATAAATTTATTTTGTTAGTTCCTGGAAGCATAGCACTATAGACAGAAGCACCATGCCGTCCCTCCACAGCAAAGATCCAAAAAACTAAGTCAAAGAGAGACACACATAAATCCTGAAACCCTAAGCATCAAATGGAGAGATAAAGAACTCAGCCAAGCACCAAATGGAATAAGAAACTGACCAAGAACAGAGATCGAGGAAAGATACATGCAGAGGTCCCCTGTCAACTACTGCAGCACGGATCTGCCATCTGGGACTCCTACTGGAGATCAGTGAACAGTGGGTACGAGAAAGCAGCTTCATGGAGTTTCCAGCAGGAGACAGAACAACCGGTAACCAGCGATATAGGCTTTACCACCCCCTACCCTTCTTCACCAGCACTTGGCCTCCTCTGCTTCCTGCAGCCACAGTCTCTTGGCTGGGAAGCACTGGCTTCACCCCAGAACCCACAGGATTCCACCCATCTGTGCTCGTTGGCTTCCTGAGTGCCATTTGTTGGCTGCTGGTGTTGCTTTTTTCCCCTTCTTTAGGTTTCCTCCTTACCTCTCACCACCACCCACCCCCTTCTCTCAAACACCTGGCTCTGTGTGCCATCTTTGCTTCTTCCTGAAAGACTGAGGGGTACAGCTTGACTGTGGGACTGCTTCCCAGACTGTGCCACTGCGCTGGTGGGACCTCCAGGGCTTGTTTTATTTATTTGTTCTGTTTTGGTTTGTTTGTTTGTTTCCTTTTCTTTTCTCGGCTTGGGAGCCCCTTCTGGCTTGGTAGTGCTGTGTGGCTTGGGAGCTTCTCCCTTACTCTGTGTAGACGCACAGTGACCTCCCTGGGGGAATTTCTTTTTTCTTGTTTCTGTTTTTTTTTTCTTGGTTTTATTTTTTTGTTTCTTTGTTTTGTTTTCTTCTCTCTCTTTTTTCCTTTTTGTCTTTCTTTATTTCTAGTTTCCCATCTCTCTATACTTACCTTCTCTTCCTGTCTCCTGAATACCTGGTTCTGTGTGACAGCTCTACCTCTTCTAGCCAGGCTGCAATTCACACCCTGGGAGCAACTTCCCAAGTCCTACCAGCCACACCGGTGGGATACTTGGGGGCTTTTCTTTTTTTCTCTAATTTTTATTTATTCATTTTTTTCCTTTTATCCCTTTTCCTTTTTTTTCTCTTTTGTTTTTCTCCATTTCTCAGTCTTTTATCTTTCCACTCCAATAGCAAGCTCCCTTAACACTCTTTTTTGTTGTTTGTGTGTATGTTTTTGGCTCCTATTCCTCTCTCCTCTTTCCCATACCCATCTTAGCTCCACGCATCATGATCTCCCCCCTCCTTCATGCCTACCTGCACTGTGCACTGAACATCACAACCCCAAGCAGCACAGGCATAGCCTACCGGAAACTTCCCTGCACTGATTCCCTGTCGGCCATAGTACATGCCACAAACAACCCATCCCAGCAACTCCCCTTCAGCTGGGCCTGCCCTGCTGTACCATACCTGAGTGACAGACCCTGCCCATTATAGAAGGAGGTGAAAAGTATCCTGCCCACAGATGAGCAAACAACAAAGAATGCACAGCCCACCTATTCAGACATAACCAAATAAAAAAACAGGTCAAAACAAGCAAATTTACAATCAATAAATGAGGGAAATAACTACTAAATATCCCAAAGACAGCAGACAATATCAACACATATAAAAAACAGGACAGAATGGTTCCAGTAGGCATCTAAAATGAAACACCAGATGACTTTCCAGTAGAAGAAAAGGCACTAGAACTACCTGATAGGGAATTCAAATCTCTAATACTAAGAATTATCCAAGAGTTGAATCAAAAAGCAGACAAAAATGAGAAAAAAAGACAAATTCATGGAAAAGGCAGACAAACTCATGGAAAATTCATAGAAAAAATGGAAGATTTCAAGAAAATAATCTAGGAACAAAATACTAAAATAAATTCACAAGTAGAAATCATACAAAAACAAAAATTAGAAATCCAAAAGATAAAAAACAAGATTTCAGAAATGGACAGTGTCATAGAAGGGCTGTGGAGAAGGTTTGAAATGAGGGAAGATAGGATCAGAGAAACTGAAGAAAAACACTTGGATACAACTCTGTTTGAGGAAAACTCAGTAACAAAGAACAAAGAAAAATGAAGAAACCCTGAGAATCGTGTGGGATACAATCAAAAGCAAAAATCTGTGAGTGATCGGAGTTCTAGAACAGGGGGAGAAAACAGAAAACACAGAGAGGATCATTGAAGAACTGCTGACAGAAAACTTCCCCAATATCATGAAAGATGAAAAGCCGACCATCCA